GGAAGATTCCACAATCTGCTTTAGTGGAAGCTTTAGGCTTTGCTATTTATTTACGACAGCTGGACTTGCAGCTATGATTTCAACAAATTTGGATCTAATTGAAAATTTCACCGAAAATTGAGTGGGAATGGAATCATTTCGGATCCAAAGTGGGGCTAGAGGCATTCCACAGGAGTTCAGTGGAAAAACCTCGCTGCCTAGGTTAGATCATTAGGATTTAGAACCCTAAAAATCACCGACTGCCTTACAACGAAACGACCTGAAGAACTGTTTTTGGCAAACTGGCGAAGGTCGGACTACTTTTTTGATCTCCTCCTGCGGACAATGCGCACGTCAAACCTAGAAGATAGGTTGGGGGGGGGGGCGTAGAGATCAAAAAAGTAGTCCGACCTCCGCAAATTGCCAAAACAGCTCTTCCTCACCCCTTAGAATCGGTTAACTCAACGGAATGGTTGTCATAAACGCCTCACAATACTGGCCTCGACGAACTCAACGACGCGTTAAATTCGGGGTAAGTGGAATCTTCCAATTGTATTCACTAGAAGTTTAACATGCGTTGGAACCTGATGCGCTTCCCATGATGCCACTCTACAGTAAGTAACTACAGTACTCACTTGAGATCCGCAATATGCAGACTGCCACTCGAATGCTGACTGTAGCGATTATCCTTGCTGGTATCGACCGGATTTCCGTCAAGTAGCCATGAGATCCTCGGCGGTGTTCGACCACTTGCCTGGCATGGTAACGTGGCTGATGAGCCGACCATCAACGTCTGATTCTGATGACCATATTCGATAACCGGAGGAGGTTGAGCAACAATAGCTGAAAAAATCTCAACTTTAAAACCGACTAAACCTTTAACCAATTCAGAAATAAAATACTAGTAGTATACTCTTGAACTTACAACCATTGTTACAATCAGTCCCATTTAAGCATAACGACAATGCGGACGTCAAACTTAGAAATGATCCAAACACCATAGGTTTCTCTCATGTGGGTAACCTAAGTTGATTTGGGCTGAATTCATCCGGTAAATCGATAAACACGTTCCAGACACGTACAATAATGAGCATATTGAAGCCGTATATTTTATGAAAACGAGATCGATTACTGCTGCCAACACAATCGAGAAATGATGACTGTTACCAGTAATTCCAAGTAATGATGATGAGGATGGGTGGAAATATCCAGCAGCGCAAACGCACTGCACCTAATGAGCTCCACAATACCAATTGCACGCGGACGACCACCGCAATGCGGGCTAAGCGGAGCAGACAAGAGCATGTACGCTAGAAGATGGGGCAGGGATGCACCGGTGGAGGAACACACTGGGCGCATGGGCGCAATTGAGTTTATAGACATCTTTACATGTAATGATCTGTACTCTGGTAAGTTAACCATGCCACCAGGCAAGGCTTGTTAACCCATTCGTGAAAGAGCGCCCTTGTACAATGGTATCCACCGCTGGCTGCCGTGTTTCAAATGGAATTTGGAAAGTTTTCTTTCCTGAAAAGAATCTTCATACCCTCATTCATCTATGCCAGCCTTGGGCACGGGAAATCTCCATCCACTCAAATTTTATTGAAGAAAAATCTCCTGACTCTCCTGCTAATGCGCAAACCGGCGCGGTCGCGAATGGGTTAAATAATCAGTAAATTCAATTCGCCCTGAACATACGTAATTGCATTAGTCGCTGACAATTAGAAAGGACGTTGAGATACGCGACATAACGCTGGTTAAAAGTCAAACAAGCATTGTCACGTGGAAAACAAATGAACTCCCATAAAGGGCATGATTTCCAGGGGCGAACCAATTCACGTAATTCACCATCAACATCAGTTTCCAAGAGAATCAGCCCATTTCCAGCCTTTGCCCCAAAAATATAGACAGGCCACTGCAAAAACACTTTGAAAATAGTTTTTCATAATAACAAGTATGCCCCAAGACAATCGCTTTCGTTTTCAAGTCTTAATATCACGGGGAATGGTAGAGCTCCAAAAATACTCCAGAAAAGAAGAAGCCTGAGCTTCAATAGCTAATGAGCGCCTATAAGAGGGCAAGTTCTTCCAGTCAGATTCAAAGCGTAGGAACTAGAAGAAAAGTAAGTTTCGCTATTGGTTCACTAGGTCGAAAGGTTCACGTTCGAAACATCAAAGGCACTGGCCATGATGGTTGGAAAGCGGTGCGCTTTTGATAACCTAATTGAACTTCATTGGTGGACTGAAACCCTCGGCATACCAGGGGAATGTGGTTGAGACAGCCCTCGCCCTCCCACCAATGACATTCAATGACGTCATCGAAAATGCAACGCCTTCCTTCCATCGTGATCACTGCCTTTAAGATTCAAATCGATGTATTACTGTAGTAGTTCATAGCAAACACATTACACATCTGTTAACACGTTGACGACATCGCGCGTTTTGTGCTTTTGCACCCCGTGGGACAATAGCGATTTTGCGAGCGCAGCCGCCGCACACCAAATCCATGGATTTTAAGTTGTAAATCCGCAATACTTAGATGTGATGAAATGTTTTCAATGATGTTCGATCTGTCTAGCTTATCAGGAGTTACAGTAATGGAAGTTTGACCGAAATGACGTGTTAAGGCCATGAAAAGGGAAATTTTACTTAATTTTCCTTTAGTGGTTTCCAAAATTAATTTGGACGTGGTTGTTTCAGTAAAAACATATCTTCCCATACGAATAGGTTTGTATTCACTTCTGTTATTCCTTTTTATCAACATGTTACGTTATTGAAAAGAAAACGAGGAATGAATTGAACAGACATATCCGTAAGGTCTGGGAAAACTCTGCCAAACTAAAGAATATTTGGCCTTTCTGTGAGCCATGTGGTTTTTAAGTATGCTAATGTATGACCTATAGAATGAGTACAAAGACCTTAGGAATAAGTCGCACAAGCGCAAGAAAAAGGGATGACTTGGGTGGGACGCGTTACCGCGTCACAATGTCCCACGAGGTGCGCAAAGTGGGACGCGTTACCGCGTCACGCTGTCGTCAACGTGTTAATGGTCTCAAAGTCATATGTTTGCTGTGAAATGAACTACGCAGCAGATTGATTGAAAAACAATGAAGCAAATATCTTTGAGAAGAAAAAAACAAATTCCCGAAGAACTCTTCCGATTCATAGGTTTTGAAAAGTGGATTCCCCAAAAGGTTGAATGTTTTTCAAGCAGACCACAAACAGCAAAACACTTGTGCTCAAATTAAAATTGTAAAAAAAAACAAATTAAATGTCGAATTGTTTTAAGCCGTTAGAAGGAAAACGCTAACTACACCAATGTTCCAGGGAACAGATTTCCCAACACGTTTCCCTATAAGTCTGGTCAAAAAGATTACTGCTCTAGCAGTCCATAACTGCTTTTTACCATGAAACGGTAGACGATTATATAGACATTTCTTTCCGGCTTTCTCGAGATTGGCTGCGTGAATAAAAGCTACAACAGAAGAAAATCGTTAACCATAATTATTACTACATTTTTCATATTGAAATATCCCTGCCAAGAGGAGCAGTAACACATTGAGCGAGTACCATGAAAGATCATTATGCAAATAAAATCTTAGGGCCTTCACCCACTATGGAGGGGTAGAGCGTGCTGTGCGACTGTTTATAGCCTAAAGTAATAAAATTTCTCGCAGGGGTGGAAACACGGGAAAATGGGTGTAAAGGCGGAAACAAAACGGTTCACGCACCCCGAAGATTTTCTCCAACTGCAGAAATTGGTATTTCTTCAGGCTGCAGTGACATATGCCCCCCCCCACGTACTGGGCGAGACTCGAATCGTACAGTGAAGATTCCCTACGGACTTGTGAAAAAAAAGAATTAATCGAATTTCTCAAAGGCGATCGAAGACGTTAACTGATGACTGCACTCTCATACGCGATGACACCTTGTCAGCTTATCTTAAGCCAATGAGTAAACTCAGTCGGTCAAC